TTTGCACTACCGCAGATATTCAAAGGAACTACTGTGCATGCCTGGCAGCTTCGATTCCAAGAACTTTTTCTACTTCAGCTGTGTTGTTGGAAGTGGCGGCTGTGCCTTTAACACCTATAGACAGTAAAAAGAGAGAACAATCACTCGAGGCGTGTTTGTTTTACGATTTACTACGAATCTGATTGGTTAAAGGATTGTCCCGAGTTTTCTGGACCAATTGCAGGACAGCCGATCAAAACCAAGGTAAACCAGAGAACTCTCAACATAAAACTGGAATTTGCTCTGACACAAATTTCGTATGACAAAGAATGTCTCAGAACTAACCAACTGTGGACATAACAGACAGCAAATCATCTCCTTCCACTAACAGCTTGTAAGTGTCTCCCTGAGCTTCGTCAACATGGATGATGGCGCGGTTAACATTTCTATGTCCCTAATAAAATGCAGAGTAAAATAATCAAAATTAAGAACATAATGTCAGCTGTGAAGAGAAAAAAAAGCAAAATTAACTTTAAAAGAAATTCAAAATGTTTGTAAACTCATTGTTACCTTTATGAGTACGTTGGGAAGATCAGATTTCAGCTGTTGCATTGTATAATGAAGGGAAGACTTGCTGCTTTCACTGGGAAAAATACACAGCTCTGATTTGCTAAGAGCGGTCACTTGCTGCAAAGAAAATTAAGTTTATCACAGCAGATCACAATCTTTGGCCGTTCCTCAGTCTCTGTTTTCAGTCCCTGTTTTCAGCCCCTGTTTTCAGCCCCTGTTTTCAGCCCCTGTTTTCGCTGAGCTTTTGATCCCTGTTTTCAGTCCCCTATTGATTCCGGTTTCAAACTGAACCAGATAATACCTTGGGTCCTATGAAAATAACAAAACTTCCCCCAAAAACTTTTCCAACAAATGTAGCTATTTTCAACCTTATCATAATTGCACATATCTAACTGGTTTAACTGGTTAAGAAACTAGTAACTGAGTGACTAAGAAGGCTCGTTAATCTTAGTGAAAACTTTACTTGGTATATCACACATAAAAGTCCCAAGGTCATTCATACCTGAGGTTTTAATTTCAGCTTTCTTGTATTGCAAATTGCAAACCTTATGGAATCAACATCTACTTCGAGCTGACAGGTGAAAACAAACACGTTATACAATAAGTTCTCTGGAATAAGGAAATAGCCTATTATATCTTTCCCGCGCTCACCATCAACGCAATGTTTACCCGAAATTGTCATTCGACACAATTTTTCCCGTATTTCTGTTCTTAATAAATGTAAAAAAGCTTACAGTGTTTACCACCCGTCAAATGTTTCGCAATTTTACTATCAGTTTAATGGATCTTGACGATTATTATTCGACAAAGTTTTCCTGCGCTCAATGTTCTGAAACTTTTCCCGCCCTTGAAGTTTCCCGCGCTTGCTACTCGTTTAAAGTATCCCGCTTTTACGAATTTCCGAATAACACGTTCCATGGCATGTATCTTTTGTTAGTTTCATGCTCCCCCGCAGGGTTTCCTACCTGCTGCAGGTCGTTCAATCGTGACAACCAAATGCGTAATATGAATAAAAAGCATAAAACATTCTGTAGAGCAGAATACAATTCACTTGCAACATTTCTATCGCTTTCCGCCGTATTAAGCGCCAATCACCTTTGCTTATCATTCGGCTTCTCGTTTGCCACTTTCCGACTTTTCTAGGGCTATACATATTCGTATAAATTCTTCTTAAAGGTTGCACATACTGCTGCACTTAGCCTTTGCGTCGTAACATATTTTAGAGCACGTTTCCCATTGTTTAATTTTTTTTATGCTGCTATTTGCCACCTGCAGCCTCCTACGCGTTTCCCAGCTTTCTCGACCGTTTTGACACAACTGTTCTGTGTTTTCCCGCCCTTTCCAGCCGCATCCAATTTTCCCGCCCTTTTCACCTGCGCCAGGTTTTTCCACGCTTGCCACTTATTTCTTCCTTTTCCCGCTCTTTCATCCATTCAATGTTTCCGAGCATTTATTACGCTCTTTCAATACACATTGTAATTTCCCGCGTTTTACGATCCCGTTTTCATCATTTCCACTCTTTTCATCCACATAATGTTATTTCTGCGTTTTTTGCCTCCTATACAGCTTTAACTTTTGATCACAAATACTTTCCCGCGTTTTTGCCACCCGTTTCTTAATTTTCCCACACTTTCTTCCTCCCTATAGTTTTCCGCGCTTTCCATGAACAACACTACGTAACATTCCTTCAAACCAATTGAGCCCCCGATATCCCAGCGGTTAAGCCTAGGGCTAAGGTGACGAATATCCGGGGCTCACAAGGTTTGAAGCAATCTTGCCTGGTGCATTCTACTTTCCAAGTCTCACTATGTTAGTTTGCCCGCGTTACAGCCACACGTTACGCCTTTAACCTTTTAACTCCCAGATCTGATAGTCAATTCTCCCCTTTAGCTCCTACATATTTCCTTTTAAATAAGTGACAAGAATTTGGTGTTAGATCAAGACAACAACTTCCATTTGATAAGTTTGAGTACTCTCATTACCTGTTTGCTGGATGATGTATGGACAATACAGGGAGAAGTTAGATGTCAATCACTACTGGGAGTTAAAGAGTTAACACTGTGACATGATTTCCTCTGATTTATTTAAGCTTGTGTTCCGAGGTACAATTATCACCAACTGGTGCTAACCTGCTAAACATAACTAGGGCAAAAATTCATTCCTACCACCGAATTTTCATTACCTTGAGTAGTTTAATCCTGTCCATGGCCAGTTTGACAAGAATAAAACAGCTGTTGGGTAGAAACACTTCCTCGATGAACTCTGAAACCTGTCAGGTAAAACAAGTTATGAAATTGAATATTGAGCGTAGAAAGATTTTCTTTCGACTTTAAATTATTTTAGCTCAGCCTTATCAAACAACAGCGTTGTACGACGACACACAATAGATCATAACCCATACCTCCCCAAGTAGTGTTTTCTCGATGCGACCCTTAACCCCACGGGCCTCGTCAGCATTTTTGTCATTCATCAGAGGAGCAGAGATAATTGGTGTGCTGATGAATCGGGACGCGTTAATGATCTCCTTGATACGAGGAACACCAAGAGTGATGTCTGATTTAGTTAAGGTAACAAAGGTATTGTACGACACAGAAAATATTCACAAGAACCAAGACAAAGAGTGCTAAAAGACCTACTCTGCTGGGGCAAACTTGTTGCTAAAGAGTTAACAGTATTCTATAAATGTACGTACACTTAGAATAACTGTATAAAACGTTATTAAACAAGTAACAGCTTACTTGATCATTTCTGAACAAATTGGTCTTTCGTCAATCAATATTTTACGACAGAGATTTTCTAAGAGCGCTAACTTATTATTTCGAAAACTGTAAAAAGTAGTGTTTACAAAATAAACTCTTCTGGAAGCACTGGGAGTACTGTAACAAACCATGCTGTAACTCTTTAAAAACCATTCTGAAACGAATAAAAGGATACTCATTGAAGCTACCCCAGCGAAGTGAAATGTTTTCAGAGTCATCTGCGTACCAGGTTCCCCAATACTCTGAGCACACAGGGCTCCCACTGCAGTGCTCGGTTCAATCTTAGCTCTTGAGTATTTTTCCTTGCAAAGGTTCAGGAAGTGCGTCAGCTGTGACTTGGTGCAGCGGTCTACCCATGAAAACACTGAAAGGAAATATAAATAGTTTGACGTATCTCCCATCCCACTGTGAGAGTAGAAGATCTACCTGTCCAACAACACAACACAATGACCTGGCTAGAGCTAGAACCCAGATCCCTAAATCTAAAGTAGGGCGCGTTGGCTACCAGACCACCGTTTCTCACACACGAACATCTTAACTTCTGACTCTCCCTTGAAAACTCGCGACCTCAAAATATTTTCTGGGTTATTTATAATTGGCTTTAAAAACCTCTACAAGGACGTAAAAAATACATACCGTTGGATCGACTTGTTTCAGAAGCACTATGGGAAAGACGAGAACAAACGAATTTACCAAATCACTTCCAGAATTGATCAGCTTATAACTTCGCTTTAAACATGATACGTTTATCACCTAGCTAACTGGCTATCGGAACAGGCAAATTGATCAGCTTATAACTTCGCTTTAAACATGATACGTTTATCACCAAGCTAACTGGTTATGGAACAGGCAAATTGATCAGCTTAAGGAAGTTAATTAATTTAAACTAATTTACCCGGGCATTTTTATAGAAAAAAGAAAGTCACGAATCTGATCTCGGAAGTTCAGTAACGGATGATAAAATTCAAACGGGGCAAGCGTCCGTTCATTGCTATTTTTGAGAAATCAATTTATAATAATATAATAACATTGGATTTCTATAGCACCACTTCTACTAAAAATCCAGTGGCGCTTTACAAATATTGAATAGTTTACAGTATGAATTTATCAAGTTCTTAAACAATTTATATTACCTAAAGAAAAAAATCAAAGTAGATACAATATTAAAAGAAAATAACAATCCTTATTATGACAATATTTAATACTCTATCTTAGTTATCAATTCGCTAAGTTAAGTTGTAAGCACTCCTAAAAAGAAACGTCTTTGCCATAGATTTAAAATTGCAGAGAAGCTACAGTTTCTTACCTCATTTGGGAGGGAGATAGCTGTAGATGTCTTTTCTCAACTCTCTTGGCAATGTCTTCAACAAATGTTCTGTGGAAGAAACAAAAAACTGACTGAGTATCGTAAAAACAAAAAACTTCAGTAATGACAACCAGAACAAAGAAAGATGTTGCAAAGCCACCAGCTCTGACGAATTATGTGAGCACTTAATTTGAATGATGACCCACGGCCCATCCTGTTCGATTGTAAGATTTACGGAGCTACCTTAAATCCTTCGTGAATTCCGTGCCACAGTGTTCAAAGTCCGAGCCGTCTAAAACTGGTAAAGCCACTTGGAGAATCTCTTTTGAACTGAGAGGTTCTTCGTCTTTCATAGGGAATGAACACTATTAACAAAACAAGACGAAAAATACTTGAGCACATGATTCAACCTCACTTACCAAACTAGCTGGTCTTGAAATATACTAAAACATTTTGATGGCAGGTTTGTAAAGAAAACGAACAAAACACTCCTTTATCAGGATCGTTGCGGATTAGACTACAGAAAATTCAAATTCTTAAAGGACCACCACAGAAAAATTTACAATATGAGCTGAACTAAGATATGGTTGTCTATCTGTTGTTCCATAAGACCAGAAAGCATATCTTTTCGTTATCCTGTGAATTGTGGTACTTTGATATATGTTGCTGAGTTTCATTTTGGATAAGACAGAGTGTGCATTCATTATAAGTAGAATTACGTTTACAATTATTATGATTTCAATAACAAGACGCTCAGTCCATTCGGACCACGCTAAATTTGACAAAGTTAACGCTTTGTCACACGAAATGTTTTGCATAAAATGCCCGCTATCGAAACTTTCTGTTGATATTTTGATTTTTCGATGAATTGTAACTCCCCACAATCTATGATAAGGGACTTAACTAATGGACAATGCATGCAATCAAAAGCCGGTTTTTTTATACTCACCTGAACGTGACTGAACACGCGCGTATAGTCCAGCGGTTTATCCTTTCCCTCCATGTCAGTGGGATCCAGTCCATCTCCACCGTACATGAACTGCACAATGTCCCCGACTGAATTTCTTACTGTCAAGTCATACTGCGTGGCGAGATCTTCCAACGACTAAAAATATGCCCAAAACGAGAATTGTTGTTCTTTTAGTGATAACAATTTTCTCTCTCAACCACAAGGTATTAAACTGTAACGACAAGTAACCAAAATGGTAAAGTCTTCTAAGCTGAGTGACTCATACTGACTGAGCTCATGTGGATTTCTATAGCAAGAAGTGACTAACTGATTGAAACTCGTCCTAAATCAGAGGGATGCTAATCCACTCCTGGTTTCCCCTCGACCCCCTCTCCCTCCTCCCAGCATTTCGTCAAGTTCCCTGGCAAATTTCTGTCTCCCATTTATAAATATACCCGGAAGGACGGGGAAAACGTGAGAAAAGAACTTACTTCCCCGGAACACGACACAGGGCTTGGGCCCCGACGCATTTAATGCAGAGTCCAACACGCTTACCACGATTTTCAACTCAAACTTCCTTGCTGTTGATTTGTTTTTCGTTATTTTGTACCTTAACAAGTCGTCTTTGCATGTATCCAGTTTCAGCAGTTTTAACGGCAGTATCCACAAGTCCTACAATGAAAGAAATATCTATATATCTGTACTACCTCCACAAATTCTAGGACAGGCATGAAAATAACAATGAGACTGACAATGACAAGGATAATAAGAAGATATCGATAACAATAATTACATTGATACCATATTGGCCAAAATAAAAAAAAAACTGTTTTCTTTTCTTTCCGATGACTTTATGATCCATCAGAGCTGCAGGTCTTCGACATTTTCATAAATATTATGATGACCAAGACTTTTGCTGAAGTCACCAAAACTTCATGAAAAAAATTAGCAAAATTTCGCTTTCAATACCTTCTCTGCCAGCCATGGTGTGAAAGAAGAATTCTGTGGGAGTAAGGCCGGAGTAGAAGCTATTTTTGACAAATCCTTTGGCAGCCGGAGACTTGGCTGTGATGTAAAGAACGGAAAATGGATAGTGTAAAAAAAAAAAAATTAAAAAAAAAAAGATATATTTTCCTTTTATGTTCGTTTGCAGTCTGTGTTGTTCAGTGTTTTGTTCGTCCATTATTTTTGTTGGCTCGCTTTTACAGATCGTAATCATTCTGGCAAAGATAAAACATCTCTTACAATGTCGTTTGAAGTGAGGTAAAGCTCTGTCCTCAAATCCATTTGGGATTCTCTTGCCTGAGATGGCCTGCTGACCAACACAGGCGATCATCTGTGAAATATTGATGAACGATCCTGAAAACAGAATAAAAAAATTGATCACAAAAACATGTTTAAAAAAGTAAGAACGATTAGTGTCTCTTTATGAAATAATAAGCACAAAATAACAGGAGTAAAAAAAACTGAAATGTGAGTATTCAAACTACGCCACTGAGTAGTCTTTCATTTAATTCTGTTCATCAAGCCGCAAAAGTTGCAGTCTGTCGACAACAGGCCTTGTGTGTCATAATTCAAATGAAAGCGACTGACCAATACTGTCATGCACGCGATTTCATTTATTAGCTTAACAGTTTCAGGGTTTCGATAACTTTACCCATGGGTAGCTGCCAATGGTGTAATGGGCCACTGCTGTGAAGCGATGCCCAAACACGAGAGTGTGCACTCAGGCTAAACAATCCACGGTAAGAGGTCTTATGGGCAGCGGTAGACCGCCAGCAACTAGCTTTTAGTGAAACCCATAAGTTTATTAATCCATGGCTCTGATCATACTGAATTTTCTTACGAGGTGACAGTGGATAGCTTATACAAACCTTTCGAACCACATACTGCCATTGTTAAAGGACTGTTGGTCTTGTGCAGCTCGTGTAGACAAGCTTTTCCAGCGTGATCTCTTATGACAGAAAGCTCTTTCAGAATAACAGCCTAACAAGAGTACACACCACAAAAACAAAAGATAAAATTGTCCTTAAGGATGATGATTTGGTTGTAGTAGGTGACAAAAAGGTTGCCATTTTAGATCGGGCACACAGTTGCGGCGTACATCATTCATCGATCAAGTTCGTTTTTATCATCACACACCTCAAGAGTATCGTCTGCGCTACACCCTGGCTGTGTTTGCAACTTGCCTTCTTTAAAATCCTGAATGAAGCTGTCACACTTGGAATAACTAAAAAACCATACCAAATTACAAAAAAAAAATTGTAAGAGCGGGTTGGATGCATATAGCGGAAAGTTCACTATGGGATACTTGAATGGAGCTTGGCCATCATGATGGGATTTCGAATGATGGTTCAAGGATACCGTTGGTCTTTTTCAGCCCTTCTTTATGGCGCGGAAGAAAGACAAGTTTGAAAGTTATAATACACATACCCGTTATCGAGAAGTTCATCCTTTGCCTGCAGAAGTCCGTGGCCAGGCGTGACGTCACCAATACCAATAGAAAACCCTCTGTTACCTATAAAAAAATTACATCAGCACATTTTCATTATTTTTCTCTAAAAGGTTATCCCAATATGACG